TTTTCTCTCTTGCTTATTTTCTCACATGGTATCAGAGCTTTCTAAGCTCTTTGTTGCCTGTCGTTCTTCTATCAGAGCTTTCTAAGCTCTTTGTTGCCTGTCGTTCTTCTTGAGAATTGCAGATTGCCAAGCATCGCGTGTTTCCGGCCATATATCGGTTCGCGTGATTGCTGTTGTTTCTTCTACTGGATTTCTCTGATTTTTCACGGTGATTTTCCAGAATTGCAGATTGCCAAGCATCGCGTGTTTCCAGCCATATATCGGTTCGCGTGATTGCTGTTGTTTCTTCTACTAGTTTTCTCTGATTTTTCCAGAGTTCCACTTCGACTTGGTGTTCTACCTGGTCAGATTTTCCTTTATTTACAGCATATTTTTTGTTATTATGGAAAAATCTGATATTTCCCAGCCAATTTCAACCATTTTAAATGGCTCAAATTACATACTCTGGGCTCAAAGTATGCGCAGTTTCTTGAAGGGTCGAAAATTATGGCGGTATATTACTGGTGACATTACCCTTCCACAGAAAGTTACTGATGAGACAGATAAGAAGTATATTGATCGTCTGGAGGATTGGGATAGCAAAAATCATCAGATCATCACTTGGTTTCGTAACACCTCAATTCCTTCCATTCACCTTCAGTTTGGACGGTATGAAACAGCTAAGGAAGTGTGGGATTTGCTTGCAGCCAGGTATACCACTTCTGATTTATCCAGTCAATATCAATTGTGGGAAGAGTTACACAATTTGAAACAAGAACGTGGAGAGTCCATTACTAGTTTTTATGCTAAGATGGAGGCTATTTGGGATCAGCTTGCTCTCTCAGAACCAACCTTCAATGACACTGCTGATATTGGGAAGTACATTGAATATCGTGATAAAATGAGGTTAATTCAATTTCTTATGGCACTTACTGATGATTTTGAACCATGTAGAGCCTCTTTATTGCATCAGTCTCCTTTACCTACCTTGGATAGTGCTCTCTCACGATTATTATCTGATGAAACTCGTCTGGGCTTACTTAAGCCTCAACGAGATACTACTGTGGCTGCAGCTATCAACAAGTTTCCTTTGAGTAAGCGAGGACAGAAGCATTGCCGGCATTGTAACAAGTACGGACATGCTCTATATGAATGCAGTTTGGTAGAATGTCATAAATGCAAGCAGAAAGGCCATATTGCACCTAATTGTACTTCATTACCTCAGAGATCTGATCAGTGGAAGACCCAATCAAAGCCTAATCAGTCTTCCAAGCCTGTGGTTGCTGCAGCTGCTGCCAATGAGGATACCTCAGTCCATCCTTCGATTGGTAATCTAGAAACCCTTCTTAGACAGATGATATCATCTTCCTCTACATCTACTGCCTTGCCTACCATCCCAGGTAAAGTTTCTTGGATTTTTGACTCGGGTTGTTGTAATCATATGACCTCAAACTCTACACTTTTTTCTACATTAACTCCTAACACCACCGCACCTCCTATCCATACTGCTGATGGTTCACAAATGCAAGTTAGCCAATATGGTCAAGTTTCTACTTCTACTCTTACCTTACCAAACACTTCCTTATACCAAAACTTACTTTCAATCTTATTTCTGTGGGACAATTGTGTGAACTTGGTCTTGAACTAATATTCTCTACTCATGGTTGTCGTGTGCAGGATCCACAGACGGGACAGATTCTTGGGACAGGCCGTAAAGTTGGACGTTTGTTTGAGCTCACCTCCCTGCACATCCCTTCTAGTTACGTTTCCCAGTTGTGTGCCATCTCAACATCTTCCTCCTTGCACTTGTGGCATCTTCGTCTTGGTCATGCCTCTATTAGTAAACTTCGTCCTTTAATTCAAAATGGGTCTTTAGGTTCTATTAAAGAAGAGTCTTTACATTGTGTCTCATGTCAAGTCGCTAAACAGCCTGCTTTATCCTTTAATAAAAGTGATTCCATTTCACTTGCACCTTTTGATTTAGTACATTCTGACATATGGGGGCCATCTCCCACTCCTACCATGGGTGGTTCAAAATATTTTGTGTTATTTATTGATGATCATTCTCGCTTCACTTGGCTATATTTGATGA